CGAGGGAAATTTTCAGGAAATTCTACAGTAAATATTACCAGCTGAGTAATATAGGAAAGATCTCACCAAATGAGTTCGAAGAACTCAGATTCCTACAGCCAGTGCTCACTGCAATTTGGAGCAGGTTTCAAGAATCTGGTTCTTTCAAGAATCAGGTGTCCTCAATATTCCAAGAAGCTCTGATACCACTGAAATGTCGAGACACTCAGGATTAACCAACATTCATAGAAACCGAACCAATAAATGCAGAAAATAAATGTACAAAAAATAATAAACACGATGATTTTTCGGTCGAAGCCCCAGAGGTTCAACACAAGTGCCTAATCCCCTGTTGAGCATCCACTATGAATGGATTCAGCTCGGTTGCACTATAAGGTCCCCAAAATCGGGCAGTAAGTATACAATGTTTCAGAATATTACAATATACAAGTCACAGAGACTTATCTCATAAGGATTCACCAAGGCAAACCACGGTTCATAAAGAAACCACGCACAGATCACTCAAACAACTAAGTCACAGGAACTGCCATCCAAGAATCACATGACTTCACAAGTCATTATACAATATGTAAGCTATTCCACACAGAAAACACAAGAAATCACCAAGATTTCATCAAACCCGACTGCACATCACATGAAACCACTCAGGCTTCCATGAACTCAACACGGCAGCTCACTAGGTTGGAGATCTATGACATATCATGGATTAACTCAAGAAAGAGTTCTGAAAATCACTCAAGAATGGAGCCAAAATGAGAGATTCATCGAGAGAGAAAGAGATGCGACTCAAAACCCTCGAACTCAAGAAGCCGAATAGAGTAGAATGAAAGACCAACAGCCACCCAAATCATTTAGGGTTAAATGCATAGAATTATCTAGAATCAGATCCAACGGCCAAGAGATCAGCACGTGTCACAATCCAGTTAACTCCTTCCATTAGTAAAATGTCACTTTACAAAACACGCTTTTAGTTAAAATTGTGGAAGCACAATTTAAATCAAAGGAGAGCAATTCGACTCCCAACATCCTACAATCATTCCTTCCAATACCAGCAGGTCTTTCTAGCCAAGTGACTCTGTGGAACTTGAATTTTACTTGAAGTAGTCCTCTTTAAGTCACGTCTTTGCAAGAAGGTTCCTAACAAGGAGCATGTGCTCTGCTACCACTTTTACAAATACTTGATACAACTACTAAATAATGGACCTGTAAAGAGAAGGTGTCTCAGGTCTTTATAAACTCAAAAATCAGATCTTTTGCGAGCGACATAGGATTTTAGAACTATTTATTACAGATTAAAGCGGCTCTCCTAAATCCTAATACATGAGCACAACTGACATATAGATAATTAATTGAGTGTTTAATGTACCAAGATCAAGCATATATATATATATATGTGTGTGTGTGTGTGTGTGTGTGTGTGTGTATCCTCTTATACTTATGAGTGCCCTAATTAATGTAAGGCTATAAAGTGATCAACAGGCTTCTAGATTACAGCTTTAACGTGATCATATAGCCAAGATTTATTTAAACAATCATGAACACCATGATTAAACAAACTTAAGCTTATTTTCTACAAAACTTTAAAAAGTCGGGCCAATTTCAAAGATTAATATAGATTGCATCAGTCAATTGTTTTTTTAAACGTCTTGACAATCACATTACTTGAAAATTGAATTTCCTATGGCTAAAGATGATTTCTGCCACGGCTAGTACAAAAAAATACGTGCAAGGATAAAATTCGGATAGCCTCGGTGAGGATTGTCCTCTCTTAAGCCAAAGCATTACCTGAATAGGGGTTTAATTACAGATCAGGTTTTTCTCTGCACACTTCTTGTTTAATTTATAGGGTTTTGCCATTTGTTTCATCTTCAATCGATGTAAAATATTACCCTTAACATGTTTGTTATTCGCTCTCTTATACATCACAAATACCTACACACCATGGAACTGTAGATAGTCTAGTGATGAACGGAATAATTTGATCTATAGATTCTATAATTTTGGTAAAAGCTGTAACGCAAGAGGAACCATTACCGTAAAGGCATGGAGAAGAACTGGTAAATGTCTTTATTGTAAAATTAGTTTCGACGAATGAAAAGGAAATATGGTAGAATCGTTGTACTCTGAATATCATAGATAAGTTGAAGAACACAAGTAACAGGGACTCATTTTAATTTAATATAGTTTTGAAGTGCCGAAACAAGTTAAAAGACTGATAAAGATGGATGGCTGGGAATCTTGTATTTGACAGTTTTTTATCATCAAAACCTCCTTTTGTATTACAATAAATTCAAGATTAATTGTTGAAAGATTAGAACCGCTCCACTGCTGATAGGAAATCACTAAAATAAATTAAGATGAACCCTAAAAATTTAACAAAATCCTGTATATTGGCAACAAGAAAAGCGTATATAAAAACGAATTAGTTATTTAACATCCCATGAAATAACAGCTTTAGCTAATTTGGATGTTCTTGCTTTTAGAATTTTAGTTAATCTATTTTACAATTTTCTATTCAACTTCTGTAGCAAGATTTTCTGTCTTAAATATCCTATGCAAACCAGAATTACAGTGACATTGCTGTCAGTTTTACCCAAAAACAATTACGGACTCTGTTGGAGACCTGCACCGGAGCAGTTTAGCTTAAGAATATGTTAATGTAAAGATTTTAGCTTAAAAATGTATAGGCACGCGTTTTAAGTTTACTTCCGTTTAATTAACAGTAATAATTTGTAAATAAAAAGAATTAAAAGTTGAAGGATTAGGTGATGAATGATGAAATTATATGCCCGATTAAGCTATTTGTACATTAACTTTGACATCATTGTTGACAGATGGATGATGTGGCAAGATTTTGATGATTGAATTAAATGTGTAAGATGTGAAAGATGACGTGAGATTGTTAGGGTGTAAATTATGATGTATATGTAGTAAGATTGTTATCTGCTAGGAGCTCTTAAACATGATATCTGTATTTCGGTCTTATTAGGTCAAACCTACATATTGCTTCAAATCAAAACAAAAAACTAGTGCAAGATAGATACTATTAATTAATTAAGGTATTTGCTAATTAAGGATCAATTTATAATATTCATTTTCTCTTTTTCTTTTTTGGCTAAAACTAATTGTTAAATATCACTATACGATTCAAAAATATGAATGATGAGAAGTTCATGTGACATTAAGAGTCCACATGCAACAACATTAAAGCTTGGAATTGAATTGCTCCAATCTAAGGTCGAAAACCTACAAGTTCTTCTAGTCTTGTTTTATTTCAAATAAGTTGAGAATCTAAAATTGTATTCGGAATAAATTTGAAAATGAAAGAGAAAATCGCACTATCTGTCTCCAATAAATAGAATTATCTATAAACTATTCGACAACAAATTAATTAGTTTAGAATTTTATTTTTATTTTTCTTAAAAAAATAAACATGCAGAAGGGTTAGTCCCAAATCTCACATAGCCACAGCATCAATAACATTCTCCGTTCTGACCACAGTAGACGATTACGTGTGGTTATACTTCTACGTGAATTTGTCTTATTTGTAGCCGAAACCTAATTATTTGGGTTTTTTTTATTATTATAATTAATATGGAGCTGTTGTTACTGTATAAAAATTATTAAATATTATCAACATGCATGTTTTACTTCAATTGATGACACCTAAATGCCCTACTTCTACATTTGACTTTGATCCAATCATTTGTCATTCTTGATTACCTATATAAATATATAGTAGGTTTAAAGTTTTAGGGATTTAATTTTGGACAAGAAATGAATAGTGTACGTTTGGTTACTTGGAAATTACTATTTTAGAAAGTATGTAATTAATTAATAAATATGTAAATTTTAAAACTATGTTTGTCGAAAAGTGGTAAACAGTATTTTTTATGCTTGAGTGCACTGTTAAAAAAATATATTTCAAATTCTTTGTGGACTATTTGTTCAAAAATATCAAAAGATTTACCTTCTACAATAATTAATCAAAACAGACAAATTTTGTAGCCTAAGAAACTAGCAATTTATTAGGAAGTCCAGTAAGAAGTCCTTCCAGTAATGTATAATTCCATTTTTGTTTGAGAAAATTTATAAATAACAATAATTTATTAGAGAGATCAAATATTTACAAAGAAAATAATTAAATTAAACTTGAAAGAAAAAGGGAAAAAAACTGATTAATTACTTGCATCAAGCTCGCTGAGATATAGGATTTAAATAGTTAAGCTTATCACATTTCAAGTCCACCAAGCCACCATATATACATACCAAATCAATATGAATTATTTCAAAGTAATTAATCATTATTCTAAAGAATAATTTTTCCATCACTATCAGATCATTAGCAAGAATGATTACCACTCCGGCTTCTAGGAAATTCTTCTCGCTAAATCTTGTGCAATATGGGTGTAATTATATCGAATATTGACACATAAATGGCCAATCTATAAATTCGGCATAACAAGGAGGTTTCGGTCCCTTTTTTTACGAGAGGAATAGCCTCTCATCATATTGCCAGTAAAACTACACATGAATTGAATACCTTTGGTGCCCAAAATTAGTCAAAATTATGAAATAGCATCCAGTGAAATTCGAGACATATCTTTTTTATCCCGATCACGTCCCCCGAACCTCAAGTTGGGAAGATCAAAGTGGACGAGGACTCTCCGCTGAACCCTACGTTTAGCATATAAAATTAACAGTACTCATTAAAGTCTTCCATGTACGTATGTCAATCTACTATATACAATTAACAATACTAAAAAAATTCTTGATATATTTTACAACTTATATTGTAAATCACGAAAAACAATAATTTTATAATAAAAAGTAATTAAAAAAATGGTTACAAACAAAATTGAAAACGAGAAAAATAGTACAATGTCTTATACGGGCAGTGCTGTCATTTACACAAGAACAATTATTTATTGAAAGACTTTTCAATACAGCCCTAAATGGTCAAGAACCGTGTATCTTAAGATCCTTAGTAGGTGAGAGTTTCAAAATTACATTAATCATCCTCTCATTTCCTTCTTCCCATTTCTTGTTCACATCAAGCAAACACGAACAAATTTCTATTTCATCTTGTTTTGTTTGCTAATCATGTAAAAGTTACAATCCTGAAAGCCCTTTAATCCTTCATGCACGTAAGCAAAATTTCTCATGTTCTTGAAGAGTAAATTAAGATCTCAAGTGTTTGTTTCTCTTTCTTCTCTTTATTTCTGCACAATTTTGAGAAATTTACAGTTCTCTTCTTGCTTGTGAAATTCTCATTTAGTAACCTTTCAATTAACAAGAAAACGAGCCGGCCATTAAGTAGCTAGCAATGGAAGGATCAGGAGAAGTGAAAGAAGAAACTATGCCACCGGGGTTCCGATTTCATCCTACAGACGAAGAACTCATCACTTATTATCTGGTAAATAAAATCTCAGATGCAAAATTTACAGGAAAAGCAATTGGAGATGTTGATCTTAACAAGTGCGAGCCGTGGGATCTTCCAGGTATATTTTGTACCCTTAAATGTAGCTTCTTCGCAGCTTATACACATAAATACATTATGCATATATTTGTTATGTATTTTTTGTGTATATAAAGCTAGGTTTTAGCCACGAAAGAAGCGAGCATAGAAAAAGCTAGTTAGGGTTTTCTTATAGATGCTGATAATTAATTAGTTTTCTTCATATTATTTATGGACAGATCTTCAGTTCTCATGAGATAGATCACAGTAAGAAGAGGGAACTGATGAATGAAAAAAAAAAAAAAATCAAATTATGTAAATCTTATCTTAAAGCTTCATTAATTTGGAGCACTAGAAATTTAGCGTGTTAAAACAATAACTTACAATCCTTTATTTGTAGTAATATTTTGGATTCATATTTGACTTCTTTTTTTTTCTTTTTTTGGTATAACTTTGGATTAGTCAACAATAGAGTTATTTCTTGCTGTACTGATTTAGTAAATATTTAAAATTTCTCAACAAACTCTAAAATTTCTTATCTAGCACCTAGCTTGATCCCCAGAAAGAAAGAAAAAAATTACTTTCTTTTTTGTATTTTTCTTGAGAATTAGGGAAGGCAAAGATCGGAGAAAAAGAGTGGTATTTTTTCAGCCTCCGCGATAGAAAATATCCAACAGGTGTGCGAACTAATAGAGCCACGAACACTGGATATTGGAAGACCACTGGAAAAGACAAGGAGATCTTCAATAGCAACACCTCCGAGTTAGCTGGGTTGAAGAAAACGTTAGTTTTTTACAGAGGAAGAGCTCCCAGAGGAGAGAAATCCAACTGGGTCATGCATGAATATCGTATTCATTCCAAATCCGCCTATAGAACAAGCAAGGTACATTATTTATAAACTGTTTTTTCTTGCCTAACAACTTTTTTTTTTGCTTATAATTACTTATCTAGAACTAAAATTATATTACCATCTTACTAAAAGTTGGCATGAAGTACGTTAGTCTTTTATATTTTATTGTTCGTATTTTGGAGGTTCGACTTATAATTTACCTCTCCTCTCGTATTTTCCATTTTCCTCACTAAATCTGTCATTGGATTGCTTTTTCTGAACTTTTAACATTAATTTTGGATTACCTGATCTCATAGAAGTATACATTTTCAAATAATGACAAATTGTTTTCTTAAAAATAAAAATTATGATTAATCGCTCACAATCAAGCGTTACATATGGTGCACCCGTAGTGTTTTTGGTGACGAACCTTCAACAGTTGAGGAACCTTGTCCTGTCATGTATGTTTAGAATAGACTCGAGACTTGAAAAATCCTGCCATAACCTGCAGAGTCAACTATGATGGCAGTTTAACCCTTGACTTTCCTTTCATTACGTCCAGTATTTGGGCCCTGTTCAGTAAGAATTTTGACAATGAATTTTTTGATCGTTAGAAAAAAAGAGGGGGCTATTTGTGAGAGAAGAAGTAAAAAATTACGTTCGAAATAATGAAATAATGGTTAAAAAATCAATTTTGGGGTGAAAAATCACTCCCAAACACCCCTTGGTGAAGTTAGCCTTGTATGACTCTTTTCATTTTATTTATTTATTATTATTATTATTTATTTATTTTTGTTTTATTCATCATCCGTACTTGTAGTGCAAAATAGTGAGAATGTCCCATCAATAATTGATTATCAACCTATTTCATCTTTTGTAATGCTTAAGAAAAATCGTTACTAATAAATCAGAAACGTCCTTATCCCCTATATACACTTTTGGGCCATTCATCTTTTTGAATCAAGATCATGAGCGATTTGTGTCGTTCCAACAATCAGTATACAACAATATATATCTCACACAATAATTAAAAATCCTGTTTTAGGGATTGCAACGAAACGAGCGGGGATCGAAGCAACCATTCTCGTTCTCCACCGCAACGGAGCAGGTTCGGGTCGAGATCGAAGCGGAACAAGGCAAGGTTTGCCATCCTATTTTATTTTTTTACTTTCATTTCTTAATGTCTTTAATTGGTGAAATTCTCAATTTGTTAAGAACAACTAATGTTCCCTTTGGAAAAGATGGTGATTCATTTTATATATATATATATATATATATATATA